GCTGCAACCAAGGGACCATAACCTCACATCTGGAAGTGCCTTCATGTTGTGCTACTCCCATGCTCTGGAAGTTCTGCGGGATTTAGTATTTCTAAGCTAAATTTCCATTATTCTTTTATTCATAAAACATCCCACTACAAAAAGAAGCCAGACATGCCAGGCTCTAGCTCTCTGTGAATTTATTTTATAGCATGACAACTTCCTGCAAAGAGGGTGTTAAAGAAAGAGACGGTTCCATGTATGTTTTTAAGGTAGATGTCTCCCAACACCTCCCCTGAGCACACTGGGACTATTGACTCTGGAAAGGCAGAGGCATAAATTAGCCTTTGCAGAATCACAACTCTTATACTCTACCAGAAAAAATGAATTAATCTCATTTTCCCTTCTAGGTACAACCAGCAATTGGCTGGAGAAAACTGAAATACATCTGTATGCAGAAGATAATTATCCTGCCTCTCTTGCCATGCTAGGCCATTCAACTCATCCAGGGCAGCTTGCAAGCAGTGCACCAAAACACTGGGGTGTCCCACCCTGCCTCAGCCAGTCTTTTTCACCAGGTGTTTCCAGTGCCCCCAGTCTCAGGGCTTGGAGCACATGGAAGCCTCTGGCATAGAGAAGGAATAGCAGCTCAGGAGAGAAAAGAGCTGGAGAATCTCCCAGAACAACAAGAAAACTGTGAAAAATGCCTATTTTATGATTGGCTTTTTGCAAGTATTACAATGAGTATTATATGTGTAAAGTTAGAAAGTTATGCTGTATTAATTCTCTTAAGTAGTGTGTTAAATATAGTTTTAGGTTACAACATAATGTTAAAATACAAATGTAAATCCTACAAATATAGGATTAGTTTTAGTAGCTCAAGGAAGGGATAAGATAATCAAGAAACACTTTTCACAGAGATAACAGCACAGGACAGAGTTACTGTCTCGTTATTGGAAAAGACAAAGATTTTTCCACCTTCTCTCTGTCTTCATGGAACCAACAGGATTAAGGGGAAGAAGTTGACAAAAACCAGAAAAGTTCTTAATTTGCAAGGAATTTATGCATCATGTATGAGATGTATGAATATGCAACAAGCTAGTGCTTTTAAGGGTTATTCCTTTGTTCACAAGACATGCTTTTCGTGACTTAGTGTCCGAGAGCATCCGGATGTTATAAATGAAAGCTCCAATTTATTAATTTAGGAAAATTTATTAAATGTATCAAATATAAATTTAGAGAATAACAACAAAAATTCACTATCAAAAAAAGTCAGTGCCAAGCCCAGGTGTCGGTGCTGGGTGAGACACAGGTTTGACTGCTGCAGCAGAGGGTCCCCTGTGCTTCACATTGACTGGTCGATTTTTATATGATTTTTCTTGCCCGAGGCAAAGTCCCTTTTCTTCCTTTTTGTACTGCACGTATTCACGTGGAGTTCTCTTCACTGCAGCAAGTTGAACAAAACATGTCCGGAGAGTGATGAACACCCATGATCGTGTTCCTGGAATTCGGGATGGAGATGTATCTCCCTGATGGCTCTGGCTATCTCAATTTTGGATATTTATTGTGTATTCATCATCCAGGCATTCCTCTGACCACCTTGATGGATGATCCATCTCTGGGCTGGCCACTTTCATTTGCTTGTAAATGAAGTCCTCCCTCTCTTGTCCAGGTGGTTTCAACATTGTGTTGCAATCCCTGTCACTGGCTTGTGCGTTTTAAAAACTTCTTATAAGAGTATATCTTAACAGTACATAACTATAAAATATATGACAATTTTATTTGCACAAATTATCATATACACATATAACACAGATATCTGTAATATTTTGCTTTTTATTGTCTTGTAATTGTCCTAACTCTAAATTTTATTTCTCTAATTGTATTGCTATTTTTATAACCATTTTATTATTACTAAACTTTTAACATTTTAAAAAGTGATTGGTGTTTTTCACAAAAACAAACTTGGATCCTCAGCTGTGAAAAACAACCATCACGTGCCATTCAGCAGCCCAGCCACAACCCTCCATCACCAAGGGTGTTGCGATACAGGATCACGTTTTTTTGGCTCACAAAATCACATTGCTCACCACAGTCCCGTACCTGGGAGCCTCCACCACTGCCTTCATGGACGTGGTCCCCAGGGCACTTCATGCTTCCAATCCCTCACAGCTGCTGAAGTGTTTGACACCATGCTCAGTGTTGCTGCCACCACAAGGCAAGACAAGTTGTTTTGCCCTCAGGGAGTGGAAACCCTTCCTCCCTACACAACTGTCTCGTTTACAAGACAGGAGTCTGCTAGGGAAGGCAGAAAGCCTCCCTTGGAATGGAGAATGGAAACTCACTCCCTCCGAATTATTATCATTTTGAAATAAGGGGCTCTCAGGCAAATAAATGGCAATAGGACGCCTGGACGATGAATACTTGATAAATATCTAAGATTGAGATAGCAGAGTCATCAGAGAGATACACCTCAATGCCAGGTTCCAGGAACTCGATCCTGGATGAAACATCACTCCCCAGACATGGTTTTGTTCAGTTCATCAAAGAGAAAGGAAGTTTCACATATTCACATGAATATGTGAAACTCTGAAAGGAAGAAAAGGGACTTGGCCCCAGGCAAAATAAACTGTATAAAAACTGCTTGAGTGGAATGGTGGGTGTGAAACACAGAGGACCCTATGCTGTAGTGGTCAGACCTGTGTCTCATCCAGCACTGATCCCAGGCTCTGCATTGTCCTTTTCTTTGTGGCTGGCTCAGATTGAATTTAATTGCTAAGTAAAAACTATTTTTAATTTTTAATTTGGCTGGATCAATCCTTACTTATAACAAAGGGACTATGGGCAATTTACAGACACTTTCTAATCTTAAAAGTATTTTATCCGTGCTATGCATCTTATGTGCTAGAATTCTATACACAGACTGTAAAAATATACATAAAGCCTTGTACAAACTTACTGTTCTGTCTGTAGATTCATGGCTGAATATAAAGTATTCTAGCAGAAAAGCTTGGGGGCAGGGCACACAAAATCTGATGAGCAGGAGTTCTGTACAATTTAATAGAAACATTTCTACCTTTATTTCAGATAATCAGATTATAGTGGGATTTCAAAATTAATCTCCCTATCTTTGGCAGTTTTATTTTGTGGGTTGGGAATAATCATACAAAATGAACACTACAAATGAAAATTCTGGATTTATTGAGGTCACTAAGGCAACTCCTACTGATTTCAAGTGGGCCAGGGCCTCATTTTATGAGGAAGTCTTGGGGAGAAAATAAATTCGGTCTTCTAGAAACAGAGCAACATGCCAAAAAGCCTTCTCTTAATTTTATTTTGAACATGGCTGCACTGCCATCTGAGAAAACAGCTCCTTTCATTGCCTTCAGGAAATCAGCAGGTAGTCCTGCTGCCAGTGATTCCCTGCAAGCATGGAAGGACAGGCTGGCTTTCAAATCCGCTGCTTTTTACCGTGGCCAAATATTGCTGATGGGCTCAACTGCCCATCGTGTCTCACCCTGGGCCAGGATCTTAGCTCCCACCAAGTGCTGGGCTTGGGACATCTCAAAGGCTCTCTGAGCTTCCTGAAGCTTGCCCTGGGCTGTAGGATGGCTACTCTTGCTTGGCCAGGAAATACTACAGGTTCCTACACTTGAGAGCCGAGTATTTGGAGCCTGTTTTAGACAGGACCTTGCCCTGCTGCGTGCTCCTCAGCAGTATCCAACCATGTGGGAGCAGGGAGTCTTCTCCACCAACAACTGAGTGCACCTCTTGGGGTCCAATTCCTCCCAAGTCAGAAACATCCTAGCACTCTTTCCTTCCACTTCAAACTTCCTTTGTTGCTGGTACAAATAAACATGTGATTCTCTGCCTCAAAAAGGGTGCAATAGACTGACACTGCTCTCCCTAAAAATCAATTTCCAAAGCAAATGTCCTATCACTCCCATCATAGTTCAGGCAGAAGCAAAGGACAAAATGCCTTTAGATGACACAGGCCATGCTTCATTCATCTTGTCCACTTAGTTCTTTTTACCAAAGTATCTGAGGCTGCCAGCAGCACCAATCTCCTCTCTACACCAATCTCCTCTGCTGCTGCCAGTGTGGCCCTTGCTGCATCACGTCACGCTGATATCTGTAGTGTCATCAGTACAAAGCACAGGACAGTTCCTGCTTGAAGCTGGTTCCAAAGGAGAAGTGCTGGGCACATAAGGGAACTTGGATCCAGAACGGAGCAGTGTGCTGCCAAGTACTGAAATAAGAATTCTAGAAAGAGAACTTACCCAAAGTGGCAAATTTGCTGCCTGTAAACATGCTTCAATCAGAATTTTGGATGAGCTCTGAAGGTATTGATTTTTTTCGGGGGTAGACCTCCTCAAATTTCCGTATCTCTCTATCAGACTGTATTTTTTATCATTAGCCAGTAATATATGAAAGGTCTTGGAGATGGACATCATGGAAGTGAGCCTTTAAAAGTGACCTTTAAAGTCAGTGAAGTCTCAAATCTTAAAATGAAGTCTCAAATCTCCTGGAAGAAAATGGTTAACACTCAGAATTCTGAATAATATTATATAATTAACTTTTCAGCAGAGAACAGCCTGTTGGTACTAACCATGTCCTTTCTGATACATCAGAGACTGAAAAGCATTGCCTTTCCTGTGCCAACTGTCTTTCAGAATAAACAAAAGACCCTTCCCCTTCATCTCCACATGCTTAATAATATTAATAGAACATGAAAATATTAATGCTAGTAGACAAGGTCTTTCATAAGGTACATAAATGAATTCATTCACTCTAGCTCATTAGCTTAATCGTCAACCTTTTTACAATGTAACTGATTAACATTTTCATTGTTCTTCTTTGATTCTCCTTAGACTTTTGCTTCTTTGGGGATCAAAAGATCTCTGAATGCATAAGCCCAACAAATATCCTTGCACACTGTACAACAATAGGAACTGTTAAAAGAGATAACTAAGTAAGGACTTTCACAGATCATGCTTCAAAGATACTGCAGGAAACAACAATTTAAGAATAATTTTTATTTTTATGTTTAACATGATTATACACATTCATGAGTCCAACAAGATCTGCACTGTGACATTAAAGATACAGTACAATAACATTCAACATGAGGTACTTAATATATTTATATATATCTGTTCCTTTATAAATAATGCTGTAAGCCTGCTAAGGTCAAACACTGCTTCAGCACAAATGGGTGCTGGGACCTGAAGTGAGCCAAGTTTATCACAACACAAAAAAAAAAACCAAAACCCAAAATAGTTCAGTGCAATAAGTGTGTAGAAATTAAAGGGTTTACTTAAAAGACTATTTTAGATATGCAGAAAGTATATTACATTATACTCTCTTATCAGATTCCTCTCACCAGCAAATCAAAGATACAAGTAGCAAAGACAGCCAGGAACAGTTCAGACAGAATCTGCGAGGTGATTTATGTTTACATTCCAGGCTGATACGGCTGATGCTTGCATGATGTAAATCAATGTATTCAAGCTTGCTAAACCAACCAAATCCACATTCAGACACCTAATGAAGTGCCCTGATGTCCCAAGGTGAGTGGCACTGGCCACCTTCTTACATCCCAGTACTTGTTAGCATCACAAAGTGCTCAGAAGCAAGTTATGCCTCGAGCATTCAAAGGTGTTTTGGGTGCCTTTGTTTGATCACCCACACTTGAAACCCTTCCCTGCATCAGCTCCCAAAACCCAGAATGGATTCAGAGGAATTGAGCTAGAGGTTGCTTTAATCCTACCTCGTCAAAAAGACTTCATAAAAGAATGAAATTAGAATAATTAAATAACAGCTCATTTTCTACATATTACAGCTACAGAGTATTCTGATCTCTGAACTTCTCTTCCAGCCAGTGAATGTAGCAGATATGTCACCTTTATTTGCAGATACGTCAAAATGAATAATAAATTCAAAGTGAGAACCCGAGACTAGGCAAACCAATGCAACACTCTCTGACTTGTCCCACCAGCTGTAGCACCTTTTTTTTACCAAACAAATTGGAATGCAGCTTGCTACCACAACCTGTCAATCTGCTTATCACTCTGAGTAATTACATCTGCATCAGCCACTTGCTGTACAAAAATTTAATCAGCTGATTAGCATCTTTCTCTGCTTTGAAATGTATGTAAATAAATGGAACTGCTGCTCAGATGTTGTCTAAAACTAGATGACCATTACCTCATCACAATCTCAGATTCCTTTCTACGATCTCTTCAGCAACCCTTTCTCCACTCCACACCATTTACATTCTTGTCTATTTTCAGTTGTAGATATAAGTAACTGGAGATTGTTATAAATCTGTCCCTGGGAGTTTTCCACAGAGCATTCTGTTTAGATTTCACAAACAGTCTGGATTATGTACATCTGTCACAAAAAACAAAAACATTTTTCTATGTATTTTGAGGGTATTTACATTTCAGAAAGAGAGCTGCTTACACACACATGTATGTATGTATACAAAATATAAAATGCTATGATGGATGAAAGGCATAAATCCTCTGGAGTACTTTTTTACCTGACTCTCTTTTTATTACCTAGAGAGAAGATCTGGGCTTTGACTCTACACTCCACTTTTCCTTACTGCAGATGGTATTTTGGACACTACAAAGATGTATTTTGGCACTTCATGATGGCCGAGGGCCAGGATTCCAACCATCAAGCAACACTTAGAGTAACAGTATTAAACTGGTAAAATAATATAAGAAAAACATTTTTATTACAGAACTGACAAGTAAATTTAGGGTTATGGTATATGAATGTGTTCATATACCATAACATTAATCTTCAGCAGGTCTAAAGAATCATTTGGTCCTCTCATTTTGTAAAAAGGTACACAACAAACAGAATCCATTTCAGGAACAACTGTCCCATTGCAGTGATGAAGGATTCTCTCATGTTTCAATAATACCTATAGTTCTTATTTATACTGGTTTCCTGCCCTCATACAAGGAGAATCCCTCATACTTTTGCAAAAATGAATCAGACATGTAACTTCCTGTTACATCATCAAAAATGATACGGACACATAACTTCCTGGGGGGGAAAAACTCAGGCAAGGAAAAGGTTCCAGACCACATAATCCTCTGATTGATGTGTAGCCATAAGCAATTGCAAGAGCTCCAACAATAATCCAATAGCAGAGACTTCCTCCCCCTCACTGCTATCGGATATTATACACTAAGTGTAATATGACCACAGCTGGGGATCTTCTGTCTTTGTCTAAATTTCAACTGGTAATAAAAAGAAAAAAAAATCTTCTATTACAGAAGAAAATCCAAGTCAAGATTGATACATTCTTTTGTTTCTCTAAAATCTGCCTCTACCATGTTTAGGAAGAAGAAAAAACCCAAGCAAAACAAAACAGAAAATTACCCTGCATCAGATGATTGATAAAAATTCCCATTTATTTAGCAAAGGTTCAAAGAAATGCTGTTTAAAGAGTAGATCAGCTGCAATGTAGCAACACTTGGGTCATGGGAGTAGAGTTTCAAGAGCTGCATACACAATTTGAACACATGCAAGTACTTCCTTACCTTCAAGGGGGGATTCCTAGCAAATGAACTCCAAGGGTAAGTTGCCAAGCCCACATCCCTTCCTCAGTGTGAACATGAACATGCACTGGGGATAAGGCTGGTATGCCGTGGAGCTTCCTGAAAGAAGCTTCCTTCTTCCCATCTTCCCCTGGAGCCATCCCAAACAGTTGGCTACAGGAGAATCTCACAGGATGAAGGTTTAAACTTGTGCTTTTTCTGCTTATAACTGAAGGACTTCTTCCAGCCCCCATGTCAAAAGCAGCTTGCTTTACTGGAATCTCTAAAGTCTGCAGAGCAGACAGCAGAGAGAGCTACAAAAAAAGACTCTTCATTTTCTATCCCTACCTCCCCAATACAAGCAGAAAGCAGAAAATGGAGAAAGAAAAAATAGATTAATGAAGACAGTGTTTAGTGAGATACAAGAGGGGGACATCCTCTGGTGATTCACCAGTGCATCAAAGAAAGGGTCAGCATCACGAGCAAACAGGCACCCCTCTTACAAAGCCTTTAAAACTTACTTGTTTCTAAGAGCTTCCAATTTAAATATTACACTTAATCACCAATGATGCTACAAGTATTGCAAACCAGGAACTTGCCCACAGCATTTAGTTACATATTCCCTGTACTGATCACATATCTGCAGATAAAAGCTAAGAATCAGTAGACCTGAACCAGACAGGCTCTTCATAGCAAAATGCTTTGTATCCACACACTCCCATTCAAGCATAAAATATGAGTTCGGGAATTTGTCCTCCCTGTACCCCTGTTCCATTTGTACTGTCCGAGGAGCACTGAAACTGAACAGTCACCTTGCCACACTGAACTTCTGTCATTCCTTCTTGTCCAAAATAGCTGAGTTCATTACCATCCAGAATCACGCTTGCTGTGTAAAAGGTGTCAGGCTCAATCTGCACTGGATACTCAAACCAGACAGGAAAAGTGTTACTAGAACCATCTGAGAAGTATTTACTCAAGTTCTGGCCCAGGATAACTCCTTGTCGCTTCAGTTCAATCTTAGCACTGTACTCTGCTGACCCACAGCTGGAGCCGTAGAGCCCAAAGCCAGCAATAAACACTCTCTTATCGACAGCGAACTGGATGCTGTCACAGCGGCCCCGGTAGCGCCACTGGTTGCTGCGGTAGGCGCAGGACTGGAAGCGGTGGCAGCGCTGCGGGACGAGGCCTTTGCGGGGCTTGCTGACAAACTGCAGCTCCGGCTTTTTGGCAGCCGTGTACCAGAGGAAGATGTCGTTGGTTTCGTTCAGAGTCAGGATCCCGGACTGAGCAGCGCCGTTGGCGAAGTCGTCGAGGGCCATGGTAGGAATGCGGATCAGGTAGAGAGCCTTGCCCAGCACCTTGCGCTTGTTCTCGATGGTGGCCGTCAGCTCTTGGCGCTGGCACTCCACTTCAGCCCAGTTCAGAGCTGCCTCAAAAACAACAATTTCTTTGGCATTCAGAGTCTCCCTTCGGAGAATGCTTTCAAGTGTCTGAAAATCAATGTCACAGAAGCCCTCAGACTTCAAAGCGAGCTCAGCCTGGGCATCAATCACTTCCCAGCAGCGCTGGGTCAGGTCAGGCTCCTCGAATAAGCAGCTCTGGGAAAGCAGCACACAGGCATTCTTTGCACTCAGACTTGTCTCGAGAAAGTTAACGCAGGCACGGGCCAGGTGAGGGACAATGTACTTCTTGGCAGCATAAAGAGTGGCCAGGACAGTGTCTGCGGCCAAATCGATCTCATCACAATAGATGTACCTGAAATAAAGCACACAGGTGTAACACTGCTGCTTAATGCAACACCAGTTTGTCAATAATGAACACATACAAAATCATAAACAAAGACTATTTAAATGACTCCACAGTAAAATCAAGCAGTGCTTTGGGGAATATTGATTAGGCCCAGAAAGAAAGTACAATAAAAATTCATTTAAATCTAAGGGGAATCCAACTTTCCATTTGGAGTGCATGCTATGAGACAATTGTTTAAAAAACTGTGGCCCTGCAGCTCTGTGCTCCTTCCATACAAGTCTTGGCTCCCAGGCAGGAGCTCCTGCAGGGCTGCCTCACTTGGTTACCACAGGAGTCAGGAACATGTGCTCTCAAGAGCCCTTGGATTGCCTGTCCCCTGATGGTGAACCGTGGTTTACTAAGCTGCATGAACAAACACAGGAACAAGTTTGTGGAGAGTAACTAGGTAATCTAAGAGAAATGCTATTCAAGTATATCAGGTGCTATCACTGGATTGGGTTCTTTTCAGAGGTGACTTTTTTGTTGTTTTTTTTCAAAGGGTTATGAAACATATCAGAAAGGGAAGATTTTCAGGTTTTTAATGCTCACAACATCCTAACTCAACAAGCACAGCATTTTCACTCTGTCTCACTGCATAAGGATGAAAAAACCTTTATTGCTATGGCAGTGTGGTGGAAGAGATGAAGGTGAAATTCTATTTATGTGACTAAACTGCTGGGATTCATTGCTCAGAGAAATGAAGCATTGTACAGTTTGTTCTTTTCAATATCTCATGCTTCAGGGCTCCATTTGCAGCTGGTGAATGCAATGTGCTAAAATCATGCCAAATGCAATTTCACTCTTCACAGGGATAAGCAAGACTTGATGGTTACAGCTGATAAAATTGTCTCCCTCCAGAAAAGCTTAGGTTGTATGCAGCCCTGTACAGATTTAAATTTTCTAGTTAGCAGGTTTCCTTACACAATGAGTTTTCTGCAGAACAGATGCGCCTATAAAGAGGAATTAGTACCTACACTGATCTGATGATAGTTGTAAATAACTATTTGTATTTTTGCAGCTGTAAGATAGTATCCTCCATGCTGCACTTAGAAAGCAAGCACAGCGGAGATACTGCTCCAGCAATATAAAATCTAACAGGGTACAGAGAAAAAAGAAAACTTACATAGAGCAAAGCTTATATTTAGTGTTTACTTCTTGGTTTCAGCCTATTTGTGAAACCAAAGAACCCATTTGTATATCAATGGTTACAGGCTCAGCTCCTTTACTGCCCAAAAAAAATTCCACTTTCAATTAATTTGTTTTTATGATCCTCCTCATTGCTCTCCTACTCTTTCCTCCCTTCTATTACTTCTCTTTGCCTGATAGTAAAACAGAGAATGATGAGATCTGTTTTAAATTGAAACAGTTCAAGAGCTGCTATTTTAATATTCCTGAAAATAAAGAACTAATATCATTGATGTACAGCAGACACAGCACAGATCGATTGTCAGCAATGCTCCACACCTCTTACTCTGCCAATGCACCTCGGCTCTGGTTTGCAATTACTGATATTTTTGTTTCACCCTGTTCTCAAACACAGGATTCTGCCAGACCACAGGGTTTGATGGTTTAGTAACACATTTAGCCTGGGATGAGATGAGATCACAGTTCTAACTTGAACAGTCAAGACTGAGATAAGATATAATACATTAATGCACCAATTCAGTTTGGCAGCTAGACTGTGCATTTAACCCTGTTTTTAAAACTGTAGATGACAGTCAAAGCAGTTTTACTGGGAGAATAACTTATGTCTACCTGCCATAGTATTTCCTATGTTACACCTGGCAATAGCTTGTTTGTTGTCAGAATGCCCACTGTATAATAAAACACAAAAAATATTTATGCCGTCAGAATTCATTTGCCTGGGGGGAAACAAACGAAACTTCTTGAGCAAGACCTCAAAACCAAAAACCCCAAGGCTAAATATATTTTCTGACAAAGTTTATGATGCAGAAAGAAGCCTGTGAAGGAGAGGCTGCTTTGGCATAGCTAAAGTCTTTCTCTCTGTTGCAACATAGCCTTGCCATCCATGGCTCACAGCAGTTGCAGGAAACACTCTGGGCTGGTTTCCCAGAGTGAGAGGAGTGAAGAGGACAGTGGCTCCCCCTAAGCTCCACATGCAGTGGATCCTGTGATTAGGGGATGCTGCACTGCTGAGCAACATCCCTGTGCCTTCCCTGCACCATCCTGGTGTTGCAGACACACTGCATCAGGGAAGACACCACTGGCAGGGCTACCTCAACAGCCACGCAGACCACAAACTTTTTCTGGTCTTTACGGTTTTTTCAATAAAAGCTGAGAAGGTGAAGAATCTCCTGGTTCTGGCCATGATCTCAAAGACAGTTTACTAAATTGCCATGGGCTAAATAATATGCCAAGACCTAGATGTCAGTATTAATACTCTTTTCTGCACACATTTCTTAATGATAAATTCAGAAAGCATTCAGTTTTTATACAGCACATCATGTTTAGCCATAGTGAAATAGATTTGCTGTTCAAAAAGAAAGAGGGGCTGGAAGAACCCAAGTATCTTGTATTTGTGATTTGTAAAATTCAGCATGAAAGTGAAGTGTAAGTGGGCTCTGCCACAAAATCAAAAAGGCCCAAAGCAAAGATCTGTAACACATCTCCCTACCTAATGTCACATCTTAACTTTGTATTCCAGGTCTACAGAACATATGTGCAGCTCTTCTGGTAACTACCAATATTTGCACAGAACACTCCTGATGTTGATAACCTATAAGAACTCTATATGCAACTTTGAATGTTCATCTATGATGCCAGTGAAATGTTAAAAATGAAAAAGAAACTCTTCTGTAATCACAAGTTAATCAAAACAATCTATGAAATACAATAAATTACTAGCTAGTGATTATACCATTACTTGCAAGAAAACCTGCAGCATATTAAAGGGATATACTACTGATGTATTTTTTCTACAGGAAAGCAAAAGCATTTATTTAAGCTGAAGGAAAAAAAACCCAAAAACTCAAAGCCATATCATTTCATATGATAGGGCATTTCTCCTCAATAATCAGAGTTTATAGATACATTTAAGGACAATTCAGCAGGGAAGATGCTTCATTATGCCCATTTAGGAAAAGAGAGCATTTCTTATGCAGTTTGCAAGAACAAAAATAATGATCACATAAACTGACTTGTTTTCCTTGTTAGATAAAATTCCCTATTCATGTAAACAGCCTTTTTATCACTTTTCAAACACATCAATATGATACATAAAGAGAAATTTATTTTTCAGAGACTGTGCTGAATAACTTAGGGTCATTTTTCTAAGACAAGACCTGTGTACTGCAGGTTTATAAAAGAGCTGTAATGATGTCAATCTTCAAACCTAGCAATTTAGTGGGTCTGAGGGGGTTTTGTGCATACATTTTTAACTTTTCTCTATGCTTGCAAAGTAGAAGAGTTGATTTGGGTTTTTTTGTTACAGCTGACAAATCTTTTTAGTAACTCCATTCCTTGGTGTAACATTTAGTGACAAATCAGATCGATAGGCATTACGGTACACAATGTGCCCAAAGATCCCCTGTCAAAGTCATTATTTACAACTGCCTACATTAGGCTAATATGTGTGTGCCTGGAAGTACAGGGGGAGAGCAAAAATAGGTGAAAGTTTAAAACACAAAAAGAGGAATATTTCAAGCGACTGCTTTCTTTCAGTTTATATGCAACTTCAGCTATGACATTGGCAGTGTACGCATACATCAGACAGGAACACGTATCCAGCAGATGAATGATGCTTACTTCAGCATTGCAAGAAAAGCAGCAGGCTCAACATCTGGTATACGGATTTCATCTTTGTCCTCAGCAAGCTCTCCATAAAACATTGCATGGAATACAGAGCTCCCAACAGCCAGGACATACTGTTGAGAAAGGGAAATCTTATTTCATGCTTTGAACTGAAAACACTGCCAACATAAACAATGTGGGAGAGCCACTCTGAGCATTCTGGGCTGCACTGACAGGCTCTACAGACACACTTCAGTAAGAAATGAAGTCCAAGTTAAGAACAAGTTACACGTTTTCCTTGTATTTTACTCTCCTGGGCATAGATGCATTAGCTACTGGAAAACACTCAGCTCCCCACAGAAGTTAATTATTTCTAGGAAATCTCAAGAGCAGTATTAATCAACAGCACAAAGCAGTATTCCTAACTTTACTGCCTTAGCCCAACAAATGTGCTGTTTAACCAAAAACACAAAGAAAAGCTAGGGAGAGATTATCCCACTGCATGTAGCATTTCCAAACACAGACTGCTGCCTGTCCCAGAAGAGCTGAGCCTCCCATGCTCTGTCCCACTGTAACTGTGGGAGCTCCCTCTGGCTCTCCCCACCCGAGCCGATCATGCAGCTGTTGCTTACTTTGTGTCCTGGCAGCCGCTGGGTCCCACCTGGTGGCCCGACCACAAAATGAACATCTGCCATCAAGTCATTGTTGAACATCACTGCATTTCTACAAACAGAGGTAGCATGTTAATTTGTGGCACCCCAGAACTCTCTCTGCATGTCCCAGACCAAAGAAATTTGATTTTTTAACAACTTGTTAGCAAAAAGAAGCAGGTCACACTTTGCTTCCAGCTACTTTACACATCATTGCACAAATATACCAGAGAAAATACTAAGGAGGTAAAAGTGTTTCTGCTCTCTGCAGGTGCAATAAAATAAACCCCCAAACTGCTAAGAACTTTCCAAGAAGTGGAAATCAAAGTCCAGAGCATTTATCATTGAAAATTCCCACTGAGGTCTAAAAGGAAATCTTTATGGCTATGCTGCAGCTTTCAGCAACATTTTTATTAACTCAAACAGATGCACTGACTGGAAAAGAGATATTAAAATATTTTTCCATTACCAAAATTCTTATTTCCCACACACACATACAGGGACAAAAAAAGTCCAAACAAATAAAATATAACCATGTTTTTTTCAGCAAACAAATGCATTCTGGACATGTTCCTACTTTTCACCCCTTCATTCAAACACCAAAAAAACTGCCCTGAACTTACCTCTCTCTGATGGTTGGATAAAGTCCTTGCCAATTAGGTGCAGGAATAGTGTTGTTGTTATTGAGATTTTGCTGATGGTACTGCTGGACAGCAGTTGTATTAGTATTAGCTGGTTTCTTTCGGGGAAAAATATCAGCAGCCATCTTCTTCTTTTTGGTCTTCAAGGTAATGATTTCATAGCAAACTGGAGGCAATTTGCTGTTGCTACTGCTACTGCTATTTCCTTTCTTAGAGCTCTTCTTAGACCTGCTCTTGACCGTCTCTGGAAGCATCAAGAAGAAGGTGAGACATTTCATGTTCTTTCCTTTCTCATCTACCATCAGTATATCCGTGTGAAAAGCCCGACAGCCTAACTAGCTAGGAACATTTAGGAATGCATGTGGCAGCTGTAACACCGAAAGCAGCAGAGCTGAGAGTCTGCTTCTTTTCCAGCAAGACAAGGTGACCTTTCCAGCACCCAGAGCAAGAACCCGAGTTTAAGTTTGATCCAGTACTTGAACCGTTAAGTGCATCCCCATTATTCCTGTCGGCTCGCTGTCTTTCCAGCCGATCGCGGAGGGGCTGGCAGCGCTGCAGGCCGGGCAGAGGGCAGGAGGAGCGTGGGGTGGCAGTGCCAGGCTGCCGAGGGATGGGAGCGGAGCAGGACCAGCCTGTGCCGGAGCCAATGGATGCGGGCACGGAGCGCGATGGGCTCGCACGCAGCGACACCGACCGCTCCCACCCACAGCACGGCAGCGCTCCCGCAGTCCCACGCAGCGGCACGCGTGGATCAATGGCACATCTCCGTGCGGCTCTGAGCTCTCCTCAGTTTTCACAGGCGAAGCAGAAAAAAGTTGAACTCGGGTAGAAAGATCTATTTGTTACCGTGGGAGCTATTTCCACGGGCATTAGATATTAGCACAGCTTCTTTTGCCTCTAGCATTCCCACAAATGCCTCCTGTGGGATCTGTTCTGCGGGTGTGCGACAGATATCAGAAACGAATTAAAGCAATCAAGCAGCGGCACAGACAGCGATGCAGCCAAACAATCCCTTTCAGCGCAGCTTCTGCTCCAGTGTAACATGAACAGGGATGAGGTCACAGCTTCAGCTTTAACTCCTTCTGTTTCCAGATAACACAACAGCCTTTGACAGGGGTCCCAAATCGCTAAGCAGTGCTAATTAAGCCAGCTTACACCAGACATGGCTGCACCATATCAGAAGAAAACTTCTAGATGTGTAATCAGATTAAAGCAAACCAGAGTGAATATATTTAATCAGTATTTCAAAGCATTAAATGAAAGGGTCTGAATAATTTAGTGAGTCTCAGGCAAAAATCACTCCATGAGATGCAAACAGTCTGATTTTATTCACAAATACTTCCTGAAATAAACAGGATATAAGCTATTCCAACCAAACCATTTAAATAGGAAATAAGTCTATTTTTTAGTCATTAGTTTACTCAGAACTTAAATTTAGATCAGATTTCTTTAATAGCAGTCAAATGTATAGAAAACCCACCAAGTAAGCATAGCCAGTAAAAAACAAAAGCAGGGAAGTAAAAAATATGTGGTATGAAGTACCAACATATCATACCTTAAAATATTCAACACCTTAAAATACTGGAGAGCAGATAGTTAAAATATTTTTTCATAACTACTTTAAGTTTTAAAGAAAAAACCCTCTGCTTTCAAAGCTAATTTAGTTACATTTTGCCTTAATTAGTTTTGCTGGACAAGAGCACAGCAGGGAAATTAAAGTGAGAAAAGGTTGTTGAAGAAATCTGTTGAAGCCCCTGACAAATCTGCCACTGACTCAAACAGAAGTATTACTCAGGCTGTTTATTCAATCTCCATCCCAACTGCTTGAATCACAGCTGTGGCTGTGTAACACACACTCAGAATGTCTTTAACCTGAGAATATGCTGGTATTTCAAAGATTACCAGGTGTCCTTGGGAGATGCTCCACACCAAGCACTCACTGCACGCCCCAACCACCTGGAGGCTCTGCTGCAGTGTTGGGGATGATGCCATTCCCAGACACATCTGTCCTCTCTGTCTGAAGGCACTGCTTATGGAAGGGGGAAACACAGGGAGACGTGTCCATGGCTCAGCTGCTACATTTCACAATCCCACATCTTAGTGCAAAATGTCCTTGACTGCTGCTTTGAAGGAAGATGGTGGGTTATGCCTGAAAGGCAGAGACACGTTCCTAAATACATTAAGGGGAGGTTATGTAACTTACAAAGAAATTATTTCTAGCAACCTTTTCCTTCTCCTCCACACATTTTCTTTTTTATCTGCAATAGGCTGATTAGAAAGGGAAACTAAAAACCTAAACCATATTGAACTGTAGAGAGGGCAAAGAGGGGGTAAAGGAGAAGAAACACATCCCACAGATGGGATCTTCTAACTGCTCACAGCTGAGTTTATAAAAGGAACACAGCAGGTATTCCCAGCACAGAATTTGGGTTTGTTGAGTTTGTGTAAGTTTTTTTTTTTCCTCTCCTTATGTAAATTCACAGCTCTTCCAATTACAACAATAACCCTTTTTCCACTGCATAGGACAAACATTTCAAAAAGGAATAAATCTTTAAAAAAACCTCTTAAAGATACAGAAAACCACAGACTCCAGAAAATGTGGTTCTCAGCACTGCAGTTGGCAGAAGGTAAAAGACAGCAGGGTTTGGGAGATTTGATTGTCATTCCACAAATCCATTTTATAGACCCCCAAAGTATATATAAATCAAGGTCTTGGCACATTTCTTCAAACCAATGGCCAGGACAAATCCAAAGATTTTACACACACACACCACATAAGGTCACTGGGAGGCTACAAGAGATAAAGAGAATGAGGGACAGACTGACCAGTTAACTCCATGTGGGAAAGACAGATTGTAAACATGAATTGACAGGAATCCACCAACCTTTGAGTTCTGGAGAATAACACATACACAGCACATTGTGCTTTCTGGGAAAGGAAAGGAGAGAGAAGCTGCAGCTGAAGCATGTTCTGCCTGAACTCAGAAGTCAGACAGACCCCATTAAACCAGAAGTGTCTGCACTACAGGATAAAAAAATCAAGCCCAGTAAATAAAAAGCCATATTTGCCTGCTCTTAAACCACCTATCAAAACCTGGTCTACTCTAACTAGAAAATAGCACAGATTCCAGAATAGAATATAAATAGATTTAGATTTTCGTAGAATTTCTGTGAAAAATTACAAACCTCTTACAGGTTCATACCACCTTCCACCGCACTTCATCACCTCAGGAACTAAGTCACATAAACTACTCATTAGATGGATGTGAAACAGGAAAAATTTACAAAATTTATATTTAGTCATACCAGAAATATTTAAAGGTAAAGGATATAGGAAAATTCCATACTTAAATCTTCATGCTGGCCTAATGGGCATTCAAAATGCCAGAAGAATTAAGCAAAAGACTTTACTCCCAGTCTGAGATACTACACATCAAGTTACGTGTCCCTTCCAAAACATTAGGAGCACGTTATGAGCCCTTGGAAATCAGCTCCTGACTAAACATTGTGAACTGAAGCAGCAATTTTGCTGTTCAAACCCAGGTGTGTGCAACACACCTGCCATCCCAGCTTATTTATCCCTTAAGAACATAATATCACTTGTGTGGCACAGGAGTCACAGTACAGCCCAGCTCTTGGTACAACTTTTAATAGCATGTTACTACTATAATTATGCCTTTCTAAAGGTAACTCCCAATTAGGGAAATCAGTTTAATTTCCAGACCTGATGGGAGTATTCTTCCTTATATTTCATCAATTTCTCCTGTTGCAATAGCAAGGATAGCAAAGAGTTTCTATTTTTTTTCTCCTTCTAATAAGCTGACTTTTTGTATATCTCTCATTTACAGGCCTGTTTCTCTGTTTACTACTTCATTAGTAAGATGAGCTACATAGTTCTATAAAAAAACAAGCTTTCATTAAAATTCCCAATTGTTTATCACAACCACATCATGAATAAAGGAAAGAATTCTTAGTAAGCAATGAGGAAATACATACATTTCTTTTTTTGTAAAGTTGCCAAATGTCTTCTTTGGCAGTTACTATGCCTATGCAGTATTAACATTGTTTAAATCCTGAATTTCCCCCACAAGGAAACAAATTTCAGATGACACATCTTGATTAAACAAAATAAATACACAATGTTGCTCTTCAACAAATCTACCTGTCTGTCCACTGCTAGCTTTAATTGAATTCAAGTTAACTTCAAGCGCTCATTTAAAAATAGAATATACATGTTCAAAAACTAACTAAACCAAAAGAAAACCTCAATAAACCAAACACACACAGCTGCGGTGCTGCCTTCTGTTTACCTCCCTATGAATTATTTAATCACTTGGAAGAGTCCTTCCCAATCACCATTCCAGCCCTTCTGTTTGTATAAACAAATTTGGAAAGGGTACTGATAGCTCTACCCTTCATTTCCTCAAGTAAAAAAATGCACTGCAGTGGACAAAATCTTCCAATTTCCTCTCTCCTAAGTTTCTTATTGGCAGCACTGGAAGAAATCAAGATGGCATCTGCTTATGTTGGCTGCATGGAAAAGCTGGCAATGATGTCTTAGTCAAGTCTTGTACAGAAAAATAAAAAAAAAAGGCAACCAAAAGCAGGAAGAAAGATGGGCAAAATTGTAAAGCCTCTCAAAGAAACCAAAATAGATGCTAAAAAAATAGCAATTACATCCCAGAATAGCCAAGCGGTGTGAAAGAGTAGAATAGCATCAGAGTAGAATTGCATATTGAACGAAGACTAGAAGCTTCAAAAAAGTCGAAAATAGTTAAATACTATTTTTCTATAGAACCCATGCTACGCTAGCAACATACTGGTTACCAAATATTCCTTAGTGTTTATGAGGATTTAAATAGTTTGCATAACATTATCCACTAAGATAGCTTTTACTTTTTCTTCCTGAATGCCCTTAATGCTTCAAAGAGAACAAAAGCAGAAAGTCCTGAGCAGCCTAGTCAAAAGGTAAACACTAACTTACATAAAATAGAAACCTAAAGAATGAATATTCACAATTACTTTTTACTCCTGTAGTATTTCTTAGCATACAGCTGATACATGGTATTTGTTTTAGTCTCTCTACCAAAGCAGCCTTTCTATTAAATCTTTTTAATATGTCATTAAGCAATATCCATTTTGAGAGAAAGCAATCACAACAAAACATATAACATTAATATTTACTCCTATGTTTACTTGCAAATAAATGTGCACTTTCTTTGGATGGATTCCAAGTCACTTTCCATGAGCCTGTTCCTACCTCAACTGCAACATCTCCTATTCTCATTTTTTCCTGTTATCTTTCTTGCTTAGCTGCTTAAAGCCTGCAATTTAACTTCAGTGAGAGGCTGAACAACTTAATATTTATGTCCCAAACACTTTGCTATGCTGGGTCTTTTTCTTTAAAGTTAAAGGTTTTGTTCCCTAATGGACCAAAATAACATATCAGAGTGAGAAAAAAAAAGTTCAAAATTTTCTTGTATTGTCATTCTGATTTGAAGACCATGCCTGCTGCAGAAATTATAGTCCATATAAACCACAACTGTGGCAAGGAAGGACTACATTTAGACAACCTGCAATGAACAATATACTGATCCCATTACAGTGAATTACCCCACAGACATTCTCTTTTGGGCATATGGTACAAAATAATGTCAAATGCTTCATTACAATATAAAATATATTATCTGACAAAGCTGCTAAGAAATGTTCCCCAATATCATAGCCTGGGAGCTGCAGGAAGAAAATATCTCAGAGCAAAATTTCCAATGAATTCTACGTGCAGTAACTTTTTTATTGATAGTTCAAAGTAAAACAAAGAATTATAAATGAACTCTGTGAAGAGAAAACCTGAAACCACAAAATGATAATTCAATTCAAGGTTACAGGAGATAAACTGTTTTGCTACTAATTTAAAAGAGACAAATTATGCATTTGCTCCCCATCATGGCTACTCAAGCTTGTCCATTTCATTTCACATAGAGCTTTGCTCTTGACAGTCTGTGGGGTCAAAAAATAACTTCTTTCTTAGTGGCTTTATTTATTTATAAACATGATATTGCAAACCTGAAAGCACTCAACCCTTTTCCTAAGGCAAAGGTCAACATTAATTCTACTGTGCCTTTTACCAAAACTGACTGACAAAGGAAAGCTCAGATAGCTCAGGAAATTGGTAATGAGATACACTGGTTTTCATCTCTGGGTCACTAATTCTAAATTGACTAAGGTCAACAGTAATCAAAAGTCATTAGCATTTAATGATCTCTCAGTGCCCTGTGAGGAAGAAGCTAGTGATCTTAGCACACTTCAGAAAAACCATCACTACAATCAGCACTCACATGCTGCCTGCTTCAAGGTAGAGGTTGGATCAGATGACTACAGACAGAACTTCCAATCTTGCAGACAGATCTCACCTCTGTAGACAAACCTTTTACTAATTTTAACTTGGCTCACAAACCGTTATTTTCAATGGTTAAATTAATACAGGAATAGTTAAATTAATATGGGTTCTCTGAAGGGCAGGCTGTAAGCTGCCTGGTCCTGCTCCTTCACATCAGCAGCTCCCAAATGTCTTTGTTCCCCTGCACACAGCAAGTCTGAAGAATGCAAATGCAAACAGGCCCTTCCTCAGAGAAGAAGGTTCTCACAAGTGAGAACCAATGGCATCAGAAGTAACTACTCCATGAGCAGTTCACAGAGAACTGCATCACAGTTAATTATGTTGGTGTATAGCTCAAGAACTACGCTTTTCATGTGCAGGTAACCTCCATTCACCACATCACACCACTGTGTTGCAGCTCCCAGTGGGACAGAAGGGAGCAGAGGATATTGCTGCGGTGCACAACCACACCTGCTCTGTGGCCTGCACCCTGCAGTCTCCTGGGACTGTCGTGGCAACAGCACCTGCAACAAGAGTAAGGAAAACAGAGGGGACTTCTGGAGAGCTTAGGTAGGTGTTGTACTGGAAAACCACGTTGCCAATCCATAGTTTTACATCTAGGCAAGGTTAGGGAACATGAAGCTTAAAAACCCCACAGCAAATGAACAACCTGTGTGTTTACAGCACCAGAGCATCACAGCTGGCAGCATTCAGTGTGCTAAACAGGAAAAGTCTGCTACAGCGTCTTGTTCCCACTGCATTTGAAATTACAGAAGAGGAAAATCATGAAAAAGGAACAGGGCAGTACCTTGGCAAGCCAAGCCTTTGATAAGAAATGCATTTTCAGCCACAGCGGCTCACACTTCTCAGAAGTGAGAATTAAAACCAATGAGCAACAACTCCAGCAGTGATTTTACTATTGACTATTAACCCCAATTTTTAGATATGAGAGACTGATTGCTGCTAACCTGAGCCTAATCCAGATAGTTTAAGGAATGGAACAGGCATGACATCCATTAAACTGCACTGTCCTGAATGACTGTCCCTTTGCCACACATTAGAAGCTGTGTATCTTGTTACTTGCCCTTAACTGATTCCAGACTCTTCCAACACACACAGCCTCTGTTTGAATCCACAAATTCTGGTTTCAGAATATATTTTTGTGCCTTAAGATGTATTTGTCTATCAATGTTAGGATATCTTAAATGTTCTTCTTCACAGTCACTTTGTGACACATCAGAACTGCAGTAGAGAAAAACTAAGTAAGGGGCAAGTAATCAAATAGAACAGCATAAGTAAGGGACTGTACAATATAAACATAAATACCAATTAGTTTTATGTATTATGAACTTCTATATAATATGAAAACCTTTATTTTTCCTGGGTATACATAGGGTAGTATCACTCTGGTCTCACAGAAGTGTAAAGGCAAAAGGCAAAGAGCTCCAAGGAATCTTCACACCGATCTGTCAGACAAGCAAACATGCCACCTGCCTGAAGAACTGCTTTCTTTTCATACTCTCAGAAAACCCTTGCAACCAAGCAGAGACAGGACAGCTCTAATTCCAAAGAACGTACTTTTTAAAGAAAATTACTCCTTCAAATTGCTTTGGATGTGAAGAGGAGAAAGTGTAGCTAGGGTGGTTATGGAGTGTAATCTGGTAAATCAAAGAACCATGTTATCAACAAGTCACTCAGCCTGGTATTGAAGTGGTACATGATACTCTAGTGAAATATTTATTCAGGATATCAGGTAATCTTAGGGTACAGGGCTGGACAAGGTGATGTCTCTAGATACCTTCCAAATCTGTTTGTTGGTTGTCTTCACCCCACACAGCCAGGACAGACACCAGATACTCAGACTGCCAACCAGCTCCCCAGTGTTTTAAAATGCAAACACTTTCTGGATATCACAGCAGCTTGCTGAGATAGTAAACTCAGAAAACAGATGAACCAGGACCCAAAAATGGGAAGCTTGCAAATTTGAATGCAGTGATGTCTTACTTAAGCCTCCCTTCTCAGTTTCTTGACACACACCTAAAATGTGCTTTTGTATCCAAGGTAGGGGATTGGAATTCAACTTAATGGCAGAAAACACAACCTTTAACAACTTCCACCACAAAAAGCTTGTAATCTTATCCTTCCAAGATTCCCATCTCTTATATCCCTCTTTTGCCTCAGCCTTTTGAGACATAAAACGTTGCTTTATCACTCATTTAAGTGCCTCACAAAACAGAGCTTCCACACCAGCTCAAGTACCTGAACATTTGTAAAACAGAACAACAGCCAGCCAAGTCCAAAGAGTTACCAGAGACAGCATCATGGCAGAATCATTTTGAATTATCAGAGAAAGCCAATTCTGGGCATAAACAATATTCTGCTGCCAAACTTATTTGCACAAGTTTCTACAACAGGTGATCTAAATTTCTTCTGACAACATAACACATGGCCTATCATCATCAGACCTCTGTTTTAAGTGAGCCTACCCCAGGACCCCTGCTTTCATTGTAACTGTTTGGTAAATTTAGAAAAAAAAATTGCTCACAAGCTCTAACAAGCAAGTGGCCAAAACATAAAAATTATTGTTGCTACTTGCATTTTTTTACCCCCGGCCTTAAAGGGCAAGCTACATGAATCCCATGTTGCTTCTGGAAGGTGTTTCCTCTGGGGCAGAGCTGAGGATGACTGGCAGGGAAACACAAGGGAAATTATTGTGTAGTTAGCTGTGTACTTACTTACTTAGTGTACTTACTGTAAGAGATTTAAAAAGGGGGGAAAAAAAGTAAGTACTACAGTTGACATTCAACTTTGGCAATCCTGTAGAACTTAGTTCAAATGGTGGCCCTAAGAGATTCGATTTGCAAAGCTAAATTACCCGGTAAACCCCAGATACTGCACACTGCAACATCCTGCACATACATTCTGTAAGAAATAAAATAAAATAAAAATAAAAGCTATTCTGAGCCTAACTTCGGCATAAAAGTTTAAGAAATGCCAAATAAGTATTGTACACCTATAACCCAGCACCATCTCTCTACAAAAAACAATAAAAAAACCCAAAAACAGAGCACAGATTAAAATTTAACACACACATCACATGCTGAGAACAAAGTACTGTGAGGACTAACTACAAGGAAATAAATCCACACCAGCATTTCTCAGATGAGACAGACTGAATTAGGCATATTATTAACCACACTTTAGGAACACTTAGGTGACTTAACTCCAATCCAAACTTTTCGTCGAACTCGCAACAACCACTACTCTCTCCTATTTTAAAACTCAGGAAATTTCAGCACTCAGGAAGGAAATTTCAGCACTCAGGAAACACTACAACGAATTGAATTTATAAACCTCGAAGTTCACAGGTGGCTTTCTCCAAACAAAAACAGGAAAATGGTGAATTGTAAAGGTGTGTGCCATTAGGTGAAACTAGCGAATCTTCAGAGACAGGTAGAGCAAGAAGTTCGGCCAACAGCGTGGGGGAAGGCAGGAGGTATTTATGCCAAACCGGCTCCAACTATTAATTGTTCCTCCGGGAAGGTTACCGAATTAATGCTTAAAGTAGTTCTTTTACAAAAGAAGCTTTCCTTTAAGCGGGAGAAAAGCCGCCAAGCCCAACTTTTGGGCTGTTTCCCGGTGGCGGCTGCAGCCCGGGCACAGCCGGGTGCCGAGGCTGCTGCACGGCCCGGCCGCGAACCCTCCCGCCGCCGCACAAAGGGCACCGAGGGGACACCGACACCCGCCCGGGACACGCACCGCGACCGCAGCCGGCCAGAGGCCGCGCCCGGGCGGCTCTTTGTGCGACAGAGCCCCGCTCCCCTCACCGCCGGCCCGCCGGCGCTCAGGTGCGGCCGCGCCGCCCCGCGCTGCCCCGCCCCTCACGGCGGCGCCTCCGCGGGGCGCACTCCCCGCCGGCACCGCGGCAGCCCGGGCGGGGAACGCGGGACCCGACCCGGTCCCGGCGGGTGCGGCCGTCCCGGGCCGGCGGCTCCGCACTGACCTGAGGCGCTCCGGGGCGGCCGCGCGGCCCCTCCTGCAACGCCGCGCGCGCGCGGCCCCGCCCCGCAGCGGCGCGGGAGAGGCCACGCCCCGGACACGCCCCCGGATACGCCCCTTCTCTGCCGCGCCCGCCCCGCCTTCGGGACGGAGCTCCTTTGGGATGGAATTCCTTGGGGATGGAGCTCCTTCCCCTTTCCTTCGGGATGGAGCTCCTTCGGGATGGAATTCCTTCGGGATGGAGCTCCTTCCCCTTTCCTTGGGGATGGAGCTCCTTCGGGATGGAATTCCTGCGGGATGGAGCTCCTTCCCTTTTCCTTCGGGATGGAGCTCCTTCGGGATGGAGCTCCTTCGGGATGGAATTCCTTCGGGATG